TATGGAACTGAACTCATTCCTGCGTTCTATTTTCAGCCAAATAGACAGGTCTGTAAGGTAAACAATAACACTAGGGAGATATGAACTCCTTAGAACAATCAACCACTGCATATTAAAGGACTGCATTTGCCCAAGGACAAAGTTCATAAGTAAGGAAGGCTCAGGAAAGAAGGAGGAATGGAAATAGGAAACAGGGAGAAAGTGGGATTAATGATGTTACATTGTGGGGATTGCAATTGATGTCATGAAACAAAATATGTGTGAATTATTGACTGGAAACCTAATTTGCTCTGTAAACCTGCACCCAAATCACAATAAAAAGTTGAAAAATAAATAAATAAAAGACTTGATGTTACATAACAAGAACACTAACAACCTTCTCTGCCACACTGTGAGCTATTTGAGAGCAGAGAATGTATCATAGATAATCATTTTTGGATTGTTGAAACCTAATCTAAGACCTGACATAAGGTAAATACTATACTAAACTTCCATCCCACCAGTCTGTAATGATGCATTGTTTATCAGTGTTCCAATTTGACCAAGATGGTACCAGTAGGGCCTAGCAGGAAGCTGAACATACATTATCTATCCACTACACACTCCACCTTAACAGGAGGATTATTTGTTAAAAAAGAAAAAAAAAATTAATAGGATCTAGAGCCTCATAATATATTATCAAAAATGCCAAGGATACAAAAGAAAATCATTCATCATACCAAGAACTAGGAACATCAACTCGAATAAGAAAAGAAAATCAATAGACACCAACAATGGGATGAATAAGATTTTGGAATTACCTCACTAGTATTTTAAAACAATCAACATAAAAATTCTTCAACATGCAATTACAAATATCTTGAAAGCAAATAAAAAAATAGAAAACCTCAGCAAAGAAATTAAAATTATAAAAAAAGAACCAAATGGGAATTTACAACAGAAAAATATAACAACCAAAATAAAAATCTTTGGGGATGGGTGAAATAGTAGAGTGGAGATGAGAGAGTGTAGAATCAGTGGATGTGAGGACATATTAATAGAATTTACTTAATCTGAACAACACAGAGAAAAAATATACTGGAAAAAGAAGAGTAAGAGTTTCAGAGACCTGTGAAACAATAACAAAAGAGCAAAAATTTGTATCACAGGAGTCCTAGCAGGAGAGGAGAGTGGGACTGAAAAAGTATTCAATGAAATAATGACTGAAAACTTCAAACATAAAGCTATAGATTCAAGAAGCTGAACGAACTCCTAATTGGATAAACTCAAAGAAATCTATGCCAAGTGTCATGGATTGAATTATTTCCCCTAGAAACATGTGTCATCTTGGGTAAGCCATGATTCTCAGTGGTTTGGCAGTTATGTAATGATGTAATTGGGCAGTTATGTAATGATCCCCCATGATGTGACTTGATATGACAGGTCAATTAATGGTAAGAGGATTAGGATGGGATGTAACACCCTGAATCCATCCTATCAGAACCTTGATCCAATGTAAGGGGAGTTTCCCTGGGATGTGGCTGCAATACCATTTATCTTACAAGAGATGAATGGAAAGAGAAGCAAGCAAAGAGAAAGGGATCTACTAACACCAAGAAAGAAGAGCCGGGAGCACAGTGCATCCTCTGCACCCAGGGTCCTTGCACTCGGAACCTCCTAAGATTAGGAGGATGGAAAGAAAAAGCCTTCTGTTAGAGCCAGTGCTCTGAATTTGGACTTTTAGCCTCCTGCAGTGTGAGTGAATATATTTCTTTTTGTTAAAGCTTACCACTTGTGGTATTTGTTACAGCAGCATTAGGTAACTAAGACACCAAAGTACATCGTAATTAGACTTCTGAAAACTAAAGATAAAATAGAGAAAAATAAATTAAAAATAACTGGTTATTTGAAAAGATTAATAAAATGAACAAACATATGCCAAGACTGACAACGAAAAAAGAGAGAAGACCCAAGTTACCAGTATAAGGAATGAGACAGGAGTTATCACTACAGACCCAACAGATATCAAAAGGATGATGAAGGAATATTATGAACAACTTTTCATTTGTGAACTAGACAACTCAGACAAAATGGATCAATTCCTTGAAAACCACAAACTACCAAAATTCAACTGAAATGACAGGATGAATAATCTTATACCCATGAAAGAAATTGAATTTGTAATGGAAAAAGCATCAGAATAAGAAATCTATAGTCCCACATGTTTTATTGAAGATTTCTACTAAACCTTTATAGAATTAACGTCAATTTTTATACAGAGTTTTCCAGAAAATAGGAGTGAACACTTCTCAACTTAGTTTATGATTACACTGATACCAAAACCAGATAGAAACAGTACAAAAAAGAAAACTATACACTAATATTTCTTATGAATTTGGACACAAAAGTCCTCAAAAAACATTAGCAAATGAAACCCAGCACTGTATAAAAAGAATGAGATACCATGACTGAGCAGAATTTATTCTAGGTAGGCAAGTTTGGTTCAACTTTTGAAAATCAATTAATGTAATCCACCATGTCAACAGTCTAAAGAAGAAAAATCAGATGATCATATCAATTGGTTCAGAAAAAGCACCTGATAAAATCAAATATTGATTTAGGCTAAAAATTCTCAGCAAACTGGGAATAGAAAGTATTTCCTCAACTAGATAAAGAACATCTACCAAAAAAAACAACAGGTTACATCATACTTCATGGTGAAAGAATGAACACCTTCCTTCTAAGATCAGGAACAAACTGAGGATATCTGCTCACACCATCTTATTCAAGAGTACTAGAAATACCAGCCAATGCAATAAGGCAAGAAAAAGAAAAAAAAAAAAAAAAAAAAGGCATACAGATTGGAAACAAAATAAAGGAGACAGATTTTAGGGTTTCAAACTGGCTGCAGAAAAAATTACAAAAAGTTTAGTAATTTTTGACCAATGGCATCATCACTGTAATAAATGTAGTTTCTGGGGGTATTGAAAGTACAATATTTAATGCATAAATTACAGCATATTTGCTTAAAACCAACTCAAGCTTATAGTCCAATTCCAAGGGTATTTGCTTTAAAATTTTACAGGGTTCTCTATGCTTTCTTATACTTTTGGTAAGTGTTCGGTTGCTAACTAAAAGGTCAGCAGTCTGAACCCATCCAAAGTCTCTGTGGACAAAGGAACTGGTGATATGCTCCTATAAAGGTTATAGCCTAGGAAACCCTAAAGGTCAATTTTACTCTGTCATACAGGGTAAGTATGAGTCAGAATTGACTCAACACAGTAACAAGAATTTATACTTTCCAACTGTATGCTATTTTTTGGCTGGTATTCTTGGAATGTATTGTACATTCAGCATCATCTACAAACTTCTGGGTAAATTTATTTTTCCCACTTGGCCTCTTTCTCCATGTGAAACCAAAAAGTGTAGTATAGGTTTTGGGATGATTTTAGTAGAACTGAAAGAGGGAGCAGGAAAATGATAACAATGATGACAATGATGATTATAATCACCACAATCATAGCTAACTCATATAATTACTTACTATGTTCACAATATTTATTCAATCTGTATTATGAGCAAATAATCCAAGAAGCTAGAATATATGAAGCAGAATGTGGCATCAAGATTGGAGGAACACTTGATATGCAGATGACACAACCTTTGCTTGGTGAGAACGAAGATGATTTGAAGCACTTACTGATGAAGCTCAAAGACTATAGCCTTCAGTATGGACACAACTCAACATAAAGAAAACTAAAATCCTCACAATTGGACAAATAAGCATCATCATGATAAACAGAGAAAAGACGAAAGTCATCAATAATTTCATTTTATTTGCATCCACAATCAAATATACAATGCTCATGGAAGTAGCAGTCAAGAAATAAAATGACATACTGCACTGGGCAAATCTGCTGCAAAAAGACCTCTTTAAAGTGTTAAAGAGCAAAGATGTCCCTTTGAAGACAAAAGTGAGCTTGACACAAGGCACAGGTGGTATTTTCAGTAGCCTCATATATATGTGAAAGCTGGGCAATGAATAAGGAAGACCACATAAGAATTGACACATTTGAACTGTGATGTTCGTGAAGAATACTGAATATACTATGGACTGCCAGAAGAACAAACAAATCTGTCTTGGAGGAAATAAGCAAGAATGCTCCTTAGAAGCAAGAATGGTTGGACTTCGTCTCTTGTACTGTGGTCTTATCGAGGATTAGCAAAGAAGGGGAAGAGCCTCAACATGATGGATTGACACAGTGGCTGCGATGTTGGGCTCAAGCATGGCAATGATCATGAGGATAGGGCGGGACCATGCACAGTGTTTTGTTCTGTTGTACATAGGGTCGCTATGAGTTGGAACCAACTCAATGGCACCTCAATATGTTCCAGATATTGTTCTAAGCACTTTTACAGCTTAACTCATTCAATCCTCCTAATCATCTTACTGTTGTTGGCTGCTGAAAAGCTGGTCCCTGACTCATGGTAAACTCATGAACAACAGAACTGGGCCATAGTGATCGATATGGTTTTCACTGGTTTTTCAGAAGTATATTCGCAGGCCTTTCTTTCTAGTCTATCTTAGTCTGGAAACTCTGTTGCAACCTGTTCAGCATCACAGCATTCACACGCAAGACTGCACTGACAGACAAGTGGTGGCTGAGCCTGAAGAGCACTGGCTGGGAATTGAACCCAGGTCTCCAACATAGGAGACAAAATTCTACCACAAACCACCACAGCCCTCAAGTAGGTACTATTAGGTAGGTACTATTATCCTCATTTTACAAATGACAAAACTAAGGAAGAGTAAAGTTAAGTAACTTGCCCAAGGTTAAAAAGCTAGTAAGAAACACAGCAAGAATTTGAGCCCAGGCAGTGTTACTCCAGAGTCCATGCTCTAAAGTCTATATTATATAAGCTTTGAATGAGCTTTTGGAACAAGATCTTATATATTTTCATAAATAAATGATTTGAAACTAGAAAAACAAATATAAAATGAAATGGTATAAAAAATATACCTAGAAGATGTACTTGCTCCTGCTTGTATAAGAGTTGGCATAACAGCTATAAATAATCCAAGCTGTACATCTTGCATCACTAGCATACCAAGCAGCACAGTGCTATAGTCAATATCACCTGTTTTGGGGGGAAAATTATTAAAAACAGGTTTAAAGAATCACAAATCAAAATAGAATCATTCTGCATACTTCCAAAATAATTAAAATAACATTTTAAATAAAAACACAAACTTTATATAATCTCTTAGAAAACAAATATTGAAGCATTTAAAAGTTAAAAATTTTGTAAAAAATCTCCAGAATATTTCATTTCCACTACTGGATAATCACACCAATTTCATTTTATGTCCCCAAAACACATTAAGCTTTCATTTCTAGTATTCATTTTCTCCTAAGCTATTCAAGAGAGAACTGACTTAACTGTTCCCTAAACTGGTCACTTTCATGTTCCAAGGGCATTGGGCAGAGTCTGGCTGACAGTAGTAATTTTCTCTCACAAACCCATCATCACTGTCACACTGTAAGATAAACAGACTTGGCAGAGAAATACCATCTGATTAGACAAATAGAATGGCAATAACCATGGCACAGTTAAAGGGACAAAAATAACTCCTCCAGAAAGAAGAAAAGTGATATGCTTTGCATAAATTCAGTACATAAGCCTGCAAATGTCACAATTTTCAACAAATAGTCCTGGCTTTGGACAATTTACATATGCTTCTGAATTGGAAATAATCATTTTCCCCCTAAAACAAGCGAATATTTTTCTTTTTTTAAAAAAAAAAACATTGGTTTTAACAGATTTTAAAGATCAAGTTGATCAATATGCTTATATAAAACAAAGTCTTAAACCAGAGCAAAACCAAACCAAACCAAATCAAAAAATCTCATTGACAGCAAAAAATAAAAGAATAGGTTAGAATTCCAGTAATAGTTTTAAAAGGATTATTTTATTTACTGCATAAAATTAAATTTTTGCTGAAGGAAACATCTTTGCTTAGAACTTTAAAACATTCTAAATAGGTGCTCACATTAGGTTGCTGTGGCAGCTTTGCATTATTGAGTGTTATATGATTCAATGTTGTTGTTATTTGCCATCGAGTCGGCCCCGACTCATAGCGACCCCTCCTTTGGTTTCTGAGGCAGTATCACTACGGAAGTAGGATTGCCCAACCTTCCTTCTGAGGAGTGGCTGGTGGGTTTGAACCGCCAGCCTTCTGGTTAGCAGTCAAGTGCCTTAGGCACTATGCTACCAGAGCTCCTCATAATAAGTATTAAATGTGTGGGACACTTGAAAATGTTTATTCTTTTTCAACATTACAATGCCTCGATATGTTCATAATCATTTTAAATTTCTTGATCTTACAAAATATGCTGTATCATAAGCTTGCAATTACACTGTGACACCTCTTTCCCTTTCCTCAGACAACATTAATATATTTCAAGCCTGCAACTATTACTATGCCTCTTCTTTATTAAGGAGTCCCTGGGTGGTGCAAATGATTAGTGTTCCCAATGCTTATCAAAAAGTTAGTGTTTGGAGTTCACTCAGAGGTACATCAGAAGAAAGGCCTGGTGATCTACTTCTGAAAAAAATCAGACACTAACAACATTCTACTCTGATAAACATGGGGTAGCCATGAGTCAGAATCACCTTGTCAGCAACTGTTATTTCTTTTTATAAAACTTATTTAAAGAAAATATAAAATCCCTAATTATACTTCATTTTTTAAGAAATAGTCTTTGATGATATACTGTCAGCATTCATTGTCTTTGCACCTGATCACAGACAACTGGCTTAAATCCAATGGACAGTCCATTATTTACCACCACACCAAGATGCTATGAGAGTAGAGACTGTATCTTTTTCATTAGTGTCCTTAGTACAACACACAGTGCTTCTGTACATGTTGCTGTTTTTGTTGTTATATGCTATTAAGTCAGACCTGACTCAGAGACCCCTCCTTGGGTTTCTGAGGCAGTATCACTATGGAAGTAGATAGATGCTGAAAAAATATTTGTTCATAAGGGAATTCAACAGAGGCTAGAGGAGCATGATAAATGCTTAGGGAATAATGATAAGCATAAATAGTACAATCAAACCAAAGATGAAAATAATTATACAAAATTTAAAAAATTAGACCACTTGTATTTTTTATTCTTGTGTACTCTGCACTAAATTTAATTTTTATGCTTATCACTACAAATATTTAAATTTTAAAGTTTTTCCTTCTTTCCACTGATATTTTTTAAATGGAAAGAAACTAAAGATTGTAACAGATACCAACATTCCCACTCCTGAATTTTAATAAGTCTTAAAGTTCTTTTTTGTGCACATATAGCATAATACTATATTCTGGTGGCGCAGTGCCTAAGGCATTTGACTGTTAACCAGAAGGCTGGCAGTTCAAAACCACTTGCCATTCTGCAGAAGGACGGCAGGGCAGTATACTTCTGTTAAGACTTACCACCTTGGAAACCCAATGGGGGTCACTATGAGTCAGAATCGACTCAAAAGCAATGGAATTTTTGGGGGGTTATAGTATAATATTATAACATTTGCCAATTCAACAATTTTTACATGTAAAATTCAGTGACATTAAATACTTTTATCATGTTGTAGAACCAACACACTATCCATTTCTAAATTATTAACCCCAATGAAGAAGCTCAGTCTCCCCCCCCCCATGCAATGATTTCTTCTTTCCTTCTTCTTCCTATTGCTGATAACCACTAATAAACTTTGGTCTTTATACATTTGCCTATTTCATATAAGTGGGATCATACAGTATTTCTCCTTTTGTAAAACTGACTTATACCATGCAGATATTTTCAATATTCATCCATGTCGTTGCATGTATCAGAAAATCTCTTTATAACTGAGTAATATTTTATTGTATATGTATACCATATTTTGTTTATCCATTCATCTATTGATAGACGTCTGTTGATGGACAACAAAAAGCTTTTTTTTACCTTTTGGCTATTGTAAGTAGTGCCACAACAAACACTAACGTACTAGTTGCTCTTTGCATTCAAATCTTAAATTTTCGACTTATTTGCTTAAGATTTTTAAAAAGCAAGAAAATATTACAAAGTTAAGGAAAGGTTTATCTATTGGAGGAAATTTTCTTTGTTGCTTACCAGGGGTGGGAGGGGAGGGGAGGGAACGCTGTTAGAT